TGGGCATTATCTCCAGGTCACAGAGCTTCTCCACATCCAGAGTCACCTGAGTTTTCCTGGCTGCGACCTGCAACAGCCTCTTTAGCTTTTCCATCTTGTCTTTCAGGACATTGACATCCAGACTGGACTCATCTCCATGGTTGTCAAGAGGAGACCGGCTGGAGGCTGCAAGGGCCAGTGTCTTGTTCTCCAGGTCCAGCTGCAGAATGCGCTCCTTCAGCTTTTGGATGGTCAGCTGGTCCTTCTGCTTGGCTTTCTCATAAGTGCCCAGCAGTTCAGATACCTCAGATATTTGATTCTCTAGGGCTGCTACCCTTTGTTCTTCCACCTGACATTGCTGGCGGAGCTGATCCTCTGCAAAGGCTGTCTACAGAACAGGGGAACAGACAAAAATACATCCAGAAAAGTCACCAAGTACTACAGTAAATTCCAGGGGTGGAGGCAGCAAGGGAAACAAGCAAAGGGGTCATGAGATTGGGATGACCTGGAAAGAATAGGAACCAGGAGTTTTTTGTTTTCGGGGGTTGGGCTCAGTGCTTGAACTCAGGGACTACACACTGTCCCTGGGCTTTTTTGCTCAAGACTAGCACTCTATCAATTTCAAACAGAACTCTATTTCTGGTTTACTGGAGTGGTTAATTGGAGATACGAGTCTCACTGACATTCCTGCCCTGACTGGCTTTGAACCATGATCCTCAGATCTCAACCTCCTGAGTAGCTAGGATTACAAGCATGAGCCACCAGTGCTCAGCTTGGGAACCAGGAATTTTTAATATTACGCTCCTTTGTACAGCTTCTGTTGTTCTGCTTCATTTTCCATTTTGCACTGAGCTCACATAGTATTTTTGTTGCCTACTGTGTGCTTCTCCAAATCCTGGCAAGTCATAAAATATTATTTTCCTTTTGCAATAATCCCAGAAACTTAAAACTCAGTTTGATTTCAAACCAGTATTTTTCCAAGACAGGTAAATCTTAACTAAAAGCAATTACAAACCAATCTTTCTGAGAAAATCCTCCTATGCCTCCTTCAAGTCATTCTACCTACAGCCACATACCTCAGTATACACACCACCTTCCATTGTATGGCTGCCATTACATTGCTTCAGAGAACACAACTGGTAAGATGCCAATGCCCAGAAGTTCAGACATGTCTGGCTCAGACCCAGCCACACTCAGAAATTTGATCTCCTGTTGGAAGGATACTCTCAGTGGCTCATGACCATAGTCCTGACTACTCAGGAGACTAAGGATTGTGGTTTGAAGCCAGGGCAGGGAAGTCCATGAGATCTCCAATTACCCAGCAAAAACCCAGAAGCAGAACTGTGACTAAATGGTAGAGTGCTACCTTGCATGGAAAAGCTTAGGGACAATGCCCAGGCCCTGAGATCAAGTCCCAATACTGGCACGAAAAAAAGGATACTCTCATGAAGAACAAAATTTCCTAGGACGGGGCTGGGAAGGTGGCTCAGTGGTAGGGCGCTTGCCTTGCATGCATGAGGCCCTGGGTTCGATTCATCAGCACCACATAAGCAAAAAGAAAAAAGCTGGAAGTGGTGCTGTGGCTCAAGTGGTAGAGCACTAGCCTTGAGCTGAAGAGCTGAGGGACAGTGCCCAGGCCCAGAGTTCAGGCCCCACGACCGGACCCAAATAAATAAATAAATAAATAAAAAGATTTCCTAGGACTCACTAGTAGGATTTTTCAGGTAACAAAAAAAAAAAAATCAGAATATAGGCTAGGCATAGTGGAACACAATTGTAATCCAAGCACTGAAGAAGCTAAAGCAGGAAGATCACAAGTTCAAGGTCAGCCTGAGGTACATTGGGAAACACTGTCTCAAAAAAGAAAATCAGAGTGCAACTACTTAGTACTAACTACCAAAGTAGGGGAGAAAATCTCTATTATTTCCTTACTTTGGCTTAAATGATTTATAGCTGAAGGAGATTATTACCTTCCTTATTTCCTGTTGCAGCTGAGCCTGGAAATGGCTCTTAAGGCGGGCAGCCTCTTCCTGAAGTTCTTGCAGTCGGGGGTCTGGTCGATTTTTCTCATCTCGAATGGTCTGGAGTTCACCTTTCAGCTCCTCCACCTCAAGGGTCAGCTGCTTGGTCTGTAGTTCAAACCCTTCCATCTGATCTGCTGCATACGCCCGCCCTGCCAGGGCTTCCCGAGTCTCTTCTAACCGAAGCTCCAGGTCCTGACGCTGGGTCCTCTCCTCCTGCAGCAGCTTTTGGAGTTCACGCAACATCAAGGCATGGTCACTCTGCTCTTGGGCCCGATCGTGCTGCTGCGTAATAAGTCGGGCTTTGGTTTCTGCTATCTGTTCCTGCAACCCCTTCAATTCTCCCTCCAGACGTCCCCTCTCTTCCTCAGCCTTTTTATTGGCATCCTCTAAGTCCTGTTTCATTTTCTTCTTGTCAGCCAAGTAAGAAGCCTCCATACGGGACTTCTCCTGGGTGACTGTAGCCAAAGAGCTGGTCAAAGTTGCTAACTGCGTCTTTAGCTGATGTAGTCTTTTATCCACCTCACCACCCACAGATGGCCCATCCCCACTGCTACTGCTAACGCCACTCTCCGACCCACTGGCCTCTTCGGACTTTGGGGGTGGTGGTCCACGGGCCGATCTGTCATCGTCTACCCCAAACTCACCCTTGATGCTGGTGAGACTGGCTGCTGTGTCCAAGCTAGTGGCGGTCCCGGTGCTATCCTCGCTGTGAGTAGAGCACCGATCATCTACAGAATCGGGAAAGGTGAGACCTGGAGACTGGACACCTGCAAGGCCCACATCCGCCTCGTGGGATACCGACAGTACCTTGATGCTGGCCTCCAGAGCCTCTTTCTCCTTCAGCAGGCTTTTATAGGCACGGACCACATCTTTGAGCCGTGCTTGATACTGCAGAAGCTGCTTCTTCTGCGTCTCAATGGTCTCCAGCAGGTCCTTCTTGCTCGGGCCACCTCCGAAATTCATCCCAAACTTCTCCATCGAGGTCCTGGAGTTGAGGAGACTGACGTCAGCGTTCTGGCAACCCGGGAGAGGGCCACAGGGCCACAGAGCGCACGCGCGCTCCACCCAGCCGTCTAGCTGCAGACGGCGGCGGGGACGGAGCAGCGCCCTCGGGGGCCCGAGCGCGACCGGCGGGGGCAGGTCCTACGCTGGGAGACCGGGCGACGCTGACAGCAGAGGCCAAGATCCGCCCGCACCGGCCCAGACGCCGCTCCGCCCCCTCCTGCTCGTCCGGGCCACCGCAGCCCGGGCCGGCCCCCCTCGGCCCACAGTTGGCCAGGAAGTTAGGCCAAGCAGGGCTCCATCACGACTTCCCAACTACAGAGGCCGGAGGTTAACAACGCTTCCGGGTCCGCAGGAAGTGACGACAGCGTGACGCCACAGACTCCGCCCCCGGGCGCGCGGGGTGGGCGGGGCTCCCTCAGCTGATGAGTAGGAGGTGGCCGCTTGTAGAAAACCCGGTAGGGCTGGTTTGGAAGAGCAAGCAAAGTCCGGGTCACCAAAGGAATGGCTTGGGGAAGACGCCAGAACTTGCCCTCAGGGAGCAACAGGGGGCGGCGTCGCGCAGCATTCTTCCCAAATACTCACTGAGATGAAAGACACCAACTATTAGGGACAACGTCCAATATGTCTCTACAGATTTCCATGTATACCACAAAAACTGCAGTCTTTTCTAGCACTATGCTTGGCACCTAGTTGGTATATAGTATAGAAGAGCCCGCCCTTAGTTCTGTTGAGCTGATACAACAGAGATTTATAGAGGGCACTGTATAGCCACGAGGTTCCCTGAGTGTCAGCTATATGCTGGGGTTTTGTTATTTTTTTTCTTTATGAACTTTTGCTCAGATGGTATCATTAGCACTATTTTACAGTTCAGAAATATAACACACAGAGAAGTAACATTCCTAAGGTCAAACAGCTAGGAAGAGTTCAGGAATCCAATCTCATTCAGTCTGACCCCTCAACATACTAAGGGCTGTGAAGTGACACATCATGAAGAGACATGGCCTTATTCTTAAAGAAATCACAGTCTAGTGAAGACCCAGAATGCGAACAAATAGGTTCTGCTATCATACCAGTATGTATAGATATATTCAAAGTAGTGTAAGAATCAAGAAGGAGGCCACCTTAGTCACAGAAGCTCTCAGGGCAAGTACTTTGAGATTTAAAAAATGAGTAATGATTGCCTATCTAGAGATGTGAGGAGGCAGCATAAAAGCAGGTGGAAAAGAATGCAAGGACTTTTGGGTTATCTGCTTGACTCAGTCGGGAAGCATTAAAAATCATCTCCACGGTGTGTGCCAGTGGCTCACGTCTGTAATCCTAGCTACTAAGGAGCTGGGATCAGAGGATCTCGTTTTAAAGCCAGCCTGGGTGAGTGTATTAGACTTATCTTCAATCAACCACCAAAAAGCCAGAAGTGGAGCTACAGCTCAAGTGGTAGAACGCTAGCCTTGAGCAAAAAGCTCAGCGACAGCATCAGGCCCTGAGGTCAACCTCAGGACCGACACACACACACACACCACCAACCACCACCACCATCATCTCCAGGCAGTAGTTTAATGTATGGGAGAGAGATGGCAACAGGTGAGGCAGACACAATAGGTAGGAAACCCAATTTAAGACATTTTTCTTAATCTTGGGTGTTTGTTTTTTGTTTTTTAAAGACATTAAAGGATTTTACCCTCAACAAGGGGGCACTATTAAGACTTGTATGACATTTGGGATGGTACCAACGGGGCAGGATTGCAGACATAGGAAGAGTTCATGTGATGCCCGATATTATTAAGAAAATCTTTTAAACGTACTCTTCGGCCTGGCCAAAGGAAAGTCATGCCCTCACTCCGCACCCAGAACCATTCCCACTCTCCCGACCCTTCCAGCCAACTCGACCCTTCCAGCCAACTCGGCTCTGGAGGTGGAGGGCGGAGCTAGGTGGCGAGGGCGGAGCCAGGGGCGGGCCCGGAGGGGCGGGGCCGCGTGACGTCGGGCGGGCCTGGACGCGCGGAGGCGGCGGCGGCGGCGGCGGCGCCTCCTCCTCCTGCTGGTGCACCCCATCCCCCCCGCGGCCGGCCGGTTCCAGCCCGTACCCCGCGTCCGTGCCCAGGTCCCCCTCCCCCCCAACACCCTGTCCTGGGCCCAGCCATGGGCCTCACCGTGTCCGCGCTCTTTTCGCGGATCTTCGGGAAGAAGCAGATGCGGATCCTCATGGGTGAGGCAGATCGAGTGCGCGGCCCGGATCGGGGCGCCGGCCCCGCCGCAGCCCTCCCGCCCCCGCGCCCCTCCAGCCCCGCTCACCTGGGCCCTCGGACCCCGAGCCGCCCACTTCCGAAGCCTCCCGGGCCTCTGCTTTCTAGTCGGTCCGGGTCTGCAACGCGGCCCCCGAGGCCTGAAACCCTGGACTGCGGGCCTGGGTGGAGTGGAGCTTCCTCCGCCCCGCAGCCCGGCTGCTGAGGAGGGAGGATTCCGCCCTTGGAGACGACTTTCGAACGGAAGGCGGCCTTCCTGCGGCCCCCTCACCACCCAGGCCGCCCCCGCCCCTCGCCCGGTTGAGGGGCAGGAGTTGGCGCTCGCCACCCCGGCCGCCCTCGGGGCCCCGTAGGTGGAGAACTGCGCGCACCTGGAGGCGCTCCCGCTCTCCGCCCCCATCCCCATCAGCTGGCCGGGCCTTCCCTGTCCCTGGGCTCTAGGGGGCTCCCTCGCTCCCATCTCCACCCCTGTACCCCTCTCCCGTTTGCAGTTGGCTTGGATGCGGCTGGCAAGACGACGATCCTCTACAAACTGAAGTTGGGGGAGATCGTCACCACCATCCCCACCATAGGTGAGCCCGCGGCGGGTGTGGCGGGGGAGGTGGGCGAGGCGGAAGCGCCCCGGAGGGGTCGGCCCCCGGCTCCGCCGCGGTCCTTATCTGGAGCGGACCCTGTCACCAGACACCGCTACTTGAGAAGTGGGTCACCTATCTCTGCGAGCCTGCTGCTGTCCGAGGCGGGGTTGAATGGGTCCAGCCTCGCCCTGCTTGTTGACCTCCAGTCCTTCAGGGTTCTCTTCCCCCCGAGTCTGAATCATTGACTTCTGGTTTTGTGTTCCTGCTGAGATCCGAGTCGTTTTAAGCAAGTTCCTTTCAGGACCTTTTCTCTCTTTCTCTCCTCTCTTTTTTTCTTCCACCCCAAATTATCTACAGGCTTCAATGTGGAAACAGTGGAATATAAGAACATCTGTTTTACCGTCTGGGATGTAGGAGGCCAGGACAAGATTCGGCCTCTGTGGCGGCACTACTTCCAGAACACTCAGGTGAAGTGAGGGGCGGGGGGAGGGGGAGCACTCCCCTGAGAAAAGGTGTTAAGGTGTTGGAGTTAGGAGGGACTGAGCTGTTAGAAGAAACTGGGATCAGGAACACCTCCCCCTCTCCCTCTTCCTTTGCTTGGCTAACTAACTTCTGCTCATCCTTCAGAATTCACCTTAGTCTTTCTAGACTTCTGGGAAAAAGGGTTCTGGAGCCATAATGCTTGATTTAGTTCTCAGCAAATGTCTCTCCCTGTTCTTTTGCACTTTTTTTTTTTGCACATTCTTTTTTAAAAAATTATCTTTAAATAGTTGTGCATGCAAGTTGCCATTAAACAGCAATTTATGAGTACAACACATCTTGGTCAATATTAGACTTCTTCCTCTTTGAAGACTATATCCTTTTGCTGTGCTTTCTAGTTTATGCCAGGACTTGTGCTGAGCCTTGGTAAAAGTTATGTTTACTAGATGAGAAGGGCTGCCCACAAGTAAAGATGGGAGAAGAGAGAAAGAACTAAGAGCACTAGCTTCTGGGAATGATTGCTGCTTCTTCCTTCCTTCCTGACCACCCAGGGCCTCATCTTTGTAGTAGACAGCAATGACCGAGAGCGGGTCCAGGAGTCTGCTGATGAACTCCAGAAGATGGTAAGAACCCAGAATCCAGAACTGAGCCTTTGTCATGGAGACTGGACTGGTGGTTTGGATGTTGGGTAACCCACACAGGTACAGAAGCCCTGGGATGTGTTTCTCTTTGTGGATATGAGACACACGGTGTATTTCTCTATTTGAAATAGGAATATTGCCATGAATTCTCATGCCTTTATATCAGAGTCTGACAAGTTAGTAGAGAAAAGGGAATTACATGTGGTGGAGAAAAATAACACCTCGAAGTCTTGCCATTTCCATTTGTAAATTTTGTTATTTTGTCTGAGGCATGTTCTCGAATTAGAAGGCCTTTTCTGGATATATGGCTTAGATGCTTTCAAGCTCCCTTATGACTTATGTCTTGTGTTCAGCAATTAACTACATGATCATGTATTTTTCTTTGTAAAATGCTGGAAGTTAGAAAGTGGTTTCCAACACAGCAGTGAGGGGAAAGCCTGGAGACTCCATAGGAAGCATAGGTTCCAACCTCTCTCCTCCCCTCTCAGCTGCAGGAGGACGAGCTTCGGGATGCAGTGCTGCTGGTGTTTGCCAACAAGCAGGATATGCCCAATGCCATGCCCGTGAGCGAGCTGACCGACAAGCTGGGGCTACAGCACTTGCGCAGCCGCACAGTAAGGGCCTTGTCCCCTTCTCACTGGGCAGTAGCTCTCCCAGGAGAGCCACAGCTATGGTCAAGGATATCCCCATTCTTCTTGTTGACCTCTGTCTCTTTCCTTCTCCCCACAGTGGTATGTCCAGGCCACCTGTGCCACCCAAGGTACAGGCCTTTACGATGGGCTGGACTGGCTGTCCCATGAGCTGTCAAAGCGCTAACCGACAAGGGCAGGCCCCTGCTGCCCAGAAGCTCCCGCGTGCATCCCCGGGATGACCAGACTCCCGGATTCCTCAGGCAGTGCCCTTCCCTCCCACTCTTCCAACCCCCAGACAGGCCTCTGCTCCTGCTCCTGCCTGCATGTTCTCTCTGTCATTGGAGCCTGGAGCCTGGCTCTCTGGGCACAGAGGGGTCCACTTTCCTGCCTGCTGGGACCTGTGGAAGGGCTTCCTGGCCAAGGCTCCTTCTTCCAGAGGAGGAGCAGGGATCTGGGTTTCCTTTTGGGTTTTTTTTGTTTTGGGATTGTTTTTGGTTTTGTTTTTCTGTTTGGGCTGTACCCTTGGGGCCAGGATGCAGGGGAAAGTGAGGGCTCCGGGTGGTGCTATGATGTGGAACTGGATATTGAGTAATAAATTTGCTGTGGTTTGTACCCTGTGTTGTCTGTAGCCCTGAAGTGGGAGGTGGATTCTTGGATGCATAAAGATGATCATGGGAGAGGCTCAAAGCAGCTGTTTGTGGGGCTCACAAACAAGCACACACACTCGTTTAGCAATCCTCCTTACTCCTTGGTCTAGACATTTTGTAGGGTTTCCATTGTAGGAAATCTCATTCCTCAATTGGAAGAAATGTTATCTGAGGGTAGCAATATTTACTTTTATGGTTTCGTAAATCAAAAAGCTCCATATCTCCTTCCTTCTAGCCACTCAGTGCAGTAGTTTTTTATGAATGCTTTGCACACCAGGAAGAGAATATTCATTCAAAATAAGATGATTCCTGGGCTGGGAAGGTGGCTCAGTGGTAGAGCGCTTGCCTTGCATGCATGAGGCCCTGGGTTCGATTCTTCAGCACCACATAAGCAGAAAAAAAAGCCAGAAGTGGCGCTGTGGCTCAAGTGGTAAAGTGCTAGCCTTGAGCTGAAGAGCTGAGGGACAGCGCCCAGGCCCAGAGTTCAGGCCCCACGACCGGACAAAAAAAGAAAAAAAAAAAGATGATTCCTAGCTACCCAGGAGGTTGAGATCTGAGGATCGCCGTTCAATGTCAGCCTGGGCAGGAAAGTGTGCGACTTTTATCTCCAATTAACCACCAGAAAACCGGAAGTGGTGTTGTGGCTCAAGTGGTAGAGCGCTAGCCTTGAGCTGAAGAGCACTGGGTCAGTACCCAGGCCTAGAGTTCAACCCCACAACCAACTAAGGGGGAAAAAAAAAAAGGTCTCAAGGCATGCATAAGAAAATGATTGATCAGAAGTGGTCTAATGCCTAACAATATGTATCCTTAAAATTACTCAGACAATTTTGGTACTAGTCAGAATCTTATCCTTATTTTACCAAACACTGGGAGAGCTTGAGGGTTGCAGTTCCTTGCTGAATTCTTTACCTAGGAAGCTGCTGTCTATACAGAAATCTGGAAACATGTAGAGAACCTGGACTATCTGCCAAGTGGGGTTGACTGCCCATTTCTTTGTGGGTCCCGGCACCACTTAAAACGTCATCAACACTTACTTGTCTTTCTCTTTTGTGATACCCAGTTTCTCCAGGTTCTTGGCTGGATTTTCTCCTTGAATTTGGCAGGAAGTCCCAGAGACCATTGAACGACAAGCCTCTGGAGGGGAAAGGCTGGCATCCTTGTGGGCAGCTCTGACTGCTCATGCAGTAACCAACCGAGGGTTGGTAAAGAGCCTGGTGCACCCTCCACTTAGGCAATTCTTAGCCTGGTTCTGAGCCAGACCTGGATTAATATGAGTAATGTCAACTTGACTAGTTTGCTGTCTCACTAGGGTTTCCTCATAGACACTGCAAAGTAACTTCTGAAATAGCTGATAGATTTTTTTTAATGTGTTTTGAAATTTTGAAAAAAGCTTTGAACTATGAACCACTTCCCATGGAGGAAAGAGATTGATTTCTGTCCTGTTAGTGAGAAGTAGGATATGAGAAAGGGAGGAATGTACCCAAAGTCACAGGTTGCACTTCAGATTCTTACTGCAGCCTACCTTATTTCCTGGAATGATGTGGGAAGGTCAATGCCAAAGGCTCTGGCCCTACTTTCTCTGGGCCTTAGATTGATGTTGCTGGACCAGTAACTTTTCCCCACTATGGTGGGATAAGAGGTAGCCCTCATAGTCACAATGCTCCCGGGTCACAAGAGGTGCTAAGCACTAAGCCAGCCTATGCCTGAGAAGTTCCCTCTGGGGACGTCTTCTGGTGGGTACTACCGGCCTTATTCCCGGCCATATGGCCTGTGGAACTTTACCACTGGGGGGAAGGCTGGGCCGGACAGAGTCATCACCTGTGGCGCCGGCCCCATGGCTGAAGTAGAGTGCATACACAGACATCCCAGAGCCGAGGACCTAAGGATTGGGCTCATCTGCTGGGCAGGAACCTACCTCACCTTTGAAACATACAAGAATACAATCACAGCTACTGCAAAATGTTTGGGCAGGAAACAGGTAACAAGGCAAACCTATATGGGAACCAGTTTATGGCCAAGATGTGTGTCTGTATGTGTGTGCGTGCACATCCGTGGTGTGGTGATGCTCTTTCAATCGTGTCACCTCCCTAGCTTCAGTCATAGCAAGGCCAAAACCCTTCAATTCCAGCCTTTTGCTGGCAATTCTGATTGTTCTGTCTTCCCTTTTAAAAAATAGATCCTAAGATAAAGCTTCTTCCATACCTTGCCTTATTCCAGTTGTGGCCTGTACTTGCATCTCAGCACATGGTGGTTGGGTGACCACAAAAAGGTGGAGAGCCTAAAATGGAAGGCTGAACCGTGGCCATCAAGGAAAGCTGGACCAGTTGGAAGATAGTGTTGTTTGATAGTGGAGCCCTCTAGAAACCCTTGCAGACTTGGTGGCCATTTTAGAAAAGATGGCAAGAATCTCTGGGATAGGTCCTGGAGTGAGGCAGGAACGAAGTACTCTCTCATAACAAAATGGATCTTAGTTAAATCAGGTAACTGCATCTAAACTGCTCCTGTCTTTGTTTCTAGACCGAGGCAGTCTATTCAGGCTCTTGCTTTTCTCCTGTTCTGGGGGAACGCAGTCTCTGGGAGAGTGCTGTGCAGGACAGCAGTGAGGACAAGAAGCAAAAATTAAACCAAAGCATTTCTTTACAAATTACATCTTGAAGGATGGGACCAAGGAAGAGAGAAATATTTAGCTACTGTTAACTGGAAGAGATGGACATCTAGAACTTCTTTTGAGTTTCGAGGACCCTATGCCTCCAATGGTGCAGTAGTCCAGAGATGGTTTTACTACTTCTAGTTGGAAGGGTGGAAGAGCTACCAGCAAGGAGCCCTCAGGACAGATGTGAAGAGGAGAATGGCTGGTGTTGGTGAAGGTGAAGGTGATGCCAGAGGTGATAGTGATTGGTGACACTTGTTTCCCTCTTTTTCCTCCCAATGCCTTTAGACCTGGGAACTCCTAGTGAGTAATGAGCATGACGCACAGGCTGTAGTACGAGTGAAGAGTTTGCAGGGCCTCTACCTTCTATGTGAGCCAGATGGCTCTGTGTGCTATGGCCGGCCAAGGACCAGCCACCATGGATGCTTCCTGCTCCGTTTCCACCGGAATGGCAAGTGGACCTTCCAGTGTATCATCTCTGGTCGTTATTTGGAATCGGATGGGGAATACGTGTTCTGCCACTCCCGGGTCCTCTCCGCTTACCACATGTGGACCCCACGGCCAGCACTGCATGTCCATGTGACCCTCTTCAGTCCCATGTATCACAGCTATGCCCGGGCTGACCACACTGTGGGCCGCATCTGGGTAGATGCATCAATCCCTTGTCTGGAGGAATGTGGTTTCCTATTACATTTCCAAGATGGATGCTACCACCTGGAGACATCAACCCACCACTTCTTGTCCCGCTTAGACCGACTGGTCTCCCAACCCTCATCTCAGACAGCTTTTCACTTGCAAGTGCGCCCTGGCGGGATTGTGGCCCTATGTGATGGAGAAGGAGGCACGGTATATCCACAAGGCTCACACCAGCTCCTGGGCCTGGGTTCCAGTCCCAGGAGGGGTGAGGAATGGTTCATCCTCCAGCACTTCCCAACTTGGGTCAGCCTCAGGGTAAAGACTCGGAGGTTCATCTCAGTCATGTGTGGTAAGTGCCAGGGCCCAAGGCTACTGTGGAATAAGTAAGGGCCAGTTGCTAAAAACAGAAAAATGTGTTTGGGATCATTGAGAGTAATGAACCTGCTCATAAGGAAGATCCGAGAGTCCCAAGGGAATCTTATGTGTGGTAGAGGACAGATAAGCAGGAATACATGGGCCTTTGCTGAAAGCCACCTGGGTCTTCTCCTAACTACTGTGGTCCATTATAAGGGGCTAAGGCTGAGGAGAGAAAATACAGGGAAACCCAGCAATAAAGCCTAGAAGAGGGGCTGGGACTGAGCCTAAGGCCAGACTCAAGTTCTGCTGATGATGTCCTTCTTTGACAGATGGGGATGTGTGTACTGCCTCTGAGTGCTTGACCCCAATGTCCTTGTTCCAGTTTGAATGTGACAGTGACAACCTTACCTTGCAGCTTCGTTCAGCCAATGGCTACTACCTAGCCCAGGTGAGGACTTGGCTTCTAGTACAAGAAACCATTAGCCCTTATATACATTTTCTCCCTTTTCAATGCATTTATCAGAATAGTTAGATGATCTGTGGGGGCTCTTGTCAATAAATGTTCATTTTCACCCAATGGGATCTCTTTTTACCTTTTAATCAACTTTATGGAGGCATACTTTGAACATGTAAAATTATATAAGTAGATTATATATTATATATATTGTATATAAATACATTGCATAAACTTTATGTTTAGTAGATGAATAAATAAAATCTATTTTTAAAAAATCTATGTATGCAACCATGCCACAACCATACCACAAATTAGAGACTAGTTCCACCAGTATAAAAATACCCTGTGGCTCCTTACAGCCAGTTTTCCGCCACTCTTTTCTTTCTTTTTTTTTGGTATATGTTTAATATTGTAAAAATACTGTACAGAGGGGTTACAAGTTACATGAGTAAGGTAATGAGTACATTTCCTATCGAGCATTGTTACCTCCACATTTGTTTTTCCCCTACCATCCCTTCCCTGCCCACCTCCCCAACTCCTCCATTCCCCCTGCCCCCACAAGTTGTAAAGTTTGTTTTCAACATAGTGTCTTGTACATCTCCAAACCAATGGTCTGTGTTTAATCATAATGGATTACTTTGGGTTATTCTAGAATGTCAGATAAATAGATTGATATGGTATTCATAGTTCTTATGATTGGCACAATGTTATTAAGATTAACTAATTATTGTATATATCAGTAGTTCATTCCTTTTTATTGTTGAGTAGTATTATTTAATACTACTCATAAATACAAGCATAATGTATTCACTATTGATAAACACTTGGTTGTTTTCAACTTGGGCTACTATGAATAAAGTTGCTA